CAATATCGTCTGTCCCTCAGCTTCGCCCTGGTCTCGCCCTCAGCCTGCTCCGCCCTGGGGACGCCCTCAGCCTGCTCCGCCCTGGCCACGCCCTCAACCTGCTCCGCCCTGGCCACGCCCCGCTCGTCCCCCAGTTCGTCCCCCCTCCTTCCTCTGTTCTGCGGCGTGAGGTCACGCCTCCCGGGAGGGGGGAGTTCTGTCACAGTCCTTCGTCTGCACCATCCTGTCTACGTCTCCAGCACTACACTTCCCATGATCCTCTCGTCTGCACACCTGAACTCACTCCCTCATCAGCCTCCCGTTCAGCGTCCTGTTCATCTGTTTCACCTGTCTTCACCTCATTAGTTCTGATTCCTCTGTGTATTTAGTTCTCCCTCCTTCATTCTGTCTTTGTCGGTCAATGTTGAATGTTACCCTGCGTGTTCCTGAAACCTGTCTTCCGTCCTGTATTTAGAATAAATATTGTTGTTATTGGAATCCTGACTCCTCGTCCTCTTCAGCCTGCACCCACGCCCGTGACAATTACGATAAAGCTTAAGCAGTAAGGCGGTGATATTAAAACAGTAGCTGATGCACCTTATTGAACATGCAAAGCGCTATTGGACGTGAAGCATTTTATAATGGTTTTCTTTGGGTGTTGTTCATAATCTGATTGCCTCTATAAAGCATGCTTTATTAATAATTTGTACAATATCAATCACTGATTGATTCAATAATTGTGATATCAATAATTGTGTGTAAATTTGGCACTTCAGTATCACTCACATTAAGCGTCTTAAAGTTGAAGAACGCTTGATAAGCTGCCGTCGTCTGTTTTACCAGAATACTGCCATCTGGTGGTAGCAGGTTTTCTCAAAGAGTGTGTGTGGATCTTGCAAGGCGAAACCAGCGAAATGAAAGTTTCAAAATCCAAATGAATCAAAAAGTATCTTTTTAGGGATACTTTTTAATCCACAAGTAACTACTAATGCACTATTTCATATCGTTACAAAATAAATATGTTACATGTAGTAGGCAACGTTTCTCAACACTGAGAATGAATAAATAAATGCCTGTTTCTCCAGACTCGTGCTTCAGTAATCCACAAGTCACAGAACTTTCATAATCCCCAAACCATGGCGATAGCCTATATTGTTCCATATTACTTAAAGGGGCACCAGACAAGAATGCTGTTTTTGTCAAACAGCGACCCCTAGAGTAACTGTGGAGTACTTGTTTTTAACATTACTGTCGTAAATACCACTCACGGAGGGCATGACGTGTTACATAGTCTACAATAGTACATTGTGTTTAATTTGTCATTTAATGAGATCTAATATATGTTGTTAGTGGTGAGAATTTTCACGTGATTAAATACATATCACCATGAACTATAATGGTCCAGATGAAGAACTTTTGCCATGTGTGTCACAGGTTCTGGGTTCTAATCCTTACTAATAGTATAGTTTATTTTCCTCATCAACACCGATTGTTTATTAGTGGCTGTATTTCAAGCAGGGACATGTTTTTTGTGCATTGGGTTTTGTGATTTCACCGTAATGAGTCTCTCAGTCCCCGCAACGGATTGAGCAATGAGCGCGCGTCCGTTTGAATATCACAACAGAACACTAAATCCACTGAAACTGATCACTTGATTTCAAAAACAAAACATTTCAGATCGCCTCTTATTTAACAAACGAAATAAATGAATCTGCAAGGAATCTGAGTTACATGGAGATGTTTTATTTGTTTGTATTGGTACATCTGTGCTGCGAGATGTTTCAATGGGGACATATCACACGCACATTACGGCTATGCTCGCGTCTGACTCCTTGCTCGGTCAGTCTGCTCTTTCCTCTTTCTCTGTTCCTCCGGCAATGCTTTCCTAGCTTTCTATATCTTATATGCCGGCTCCGTCATGACGATAGTGTGACAAACTCCATCCTTCTCGACCTTGTTGATGGATATGTGCAGTGTTGCCGCAAAGGAATATGTTACATCGCAAGAGCTGATATCACGCGATACTTCCTGATGCTGAGGCCGGCGAGCCGAGATTTTTTCGCTCACAGGCACCAGGGGGGGTCGAGACGCCCCCCATTCAACCCGAAAGAAGTCATATAACCATTTCAATAACTCTGAAGCTGTTAAAGGGCACCTATTATGCCCCTTTTTACAAGATGTAATATTGGTCTCGGGTGTCCCCAGAATGTATTTGTGAAGTTTCAGCTCAAAATACCCCATAGTTAATTTATTATAACCATTTGAAAATGTCATTTTGTGGCCTGCTTAAAAATGATCTATTTCGGGGGTATACAACCTTAAATGCAAATGAGCAGCATATGCCCGCCCTGCCTTTGAATGAGGGCGTAACTTGATACCTATGGCAGCCGGTACTGAGAGACTGAGAGAAACCGCTGTTTTGAATGTGATTCAGCGTACGTTTGAATCGGAATATATAAATAGTACGAAGAGACTCCGGCAGAATAAACATAAATGAGAATGGACCAGTACGTCTCGGTATGGTTATTTGATACATTCATGTACTTTAGAGTTGTAATCGCGTCCGGATGTGCAACACACACACACACAGACACACACAAACACTGAAGCTGGCGCAATATTTTGTAACTACATACACATTCTGTGAAAAAGTTTGCTATGTACGTACAAGCGAAATTACATTTATGCGAGGGACCTGTGGCGTCATGTTTACTTGTCATACAGGTGCTTCTGTGGCTAATGTGAGGAGATGGCTAACTTACAGAACAACAACATATATGCAGTTTTTAATACAATATCTTTAAATATATATATATATATATATATATATATAAACGTGTGGTTACACACTATACAAACAAGGTTTAAATTATATAGCCTACACAGACATCCTACGACGACAACAACTTTAGACGCATTTGTTGTTGAATTGGCTGACATTGACTGAAAAGACTATTTGCTCAAAAATCATAAAATACACTTACTGTTACTGGATGTGACGGTGGATCGCAAACAGTAGACGACGATCCACAGTTGAGGATTAACTTTTAAAGGACAACTCCGGCGCAAAATGAACCTTTAGTCTAATTACACATTGTTACCTAGTCAACCGTTATCTGAGATTTTTTTTCATGATTGCCGAATGTAAATAGTTTTATCTCTAAAAACAGTTTAGCCTATAACGCTAGTATAATGCTAGCATATAGGGCATAGAGTAATGACAAATAAAAATCGCTTGTTATTACCATTAAAAAGGCTCAAAATAGCCCCACAGTCACACGACAGCATAACAAGGGTCCCTACATTCAAACCGAAGCATTGAGAACTTTGTCAGTGTCCATACAGTTTAATAAGCAGATATTTTATACACACAGTCAACTTCGCGAATACAGGAAGAAGCCTTCTTGGAAAAATAGTCTCTACCAGTCGATCTACGAACGCCAATCCAAGTGCGCTGGTGAGATGTGAATAAGGTGATAAGGTGAGCGCAAACAGTAGTAGTACATATTGAAGACAAGTAAACGGTTTGTGTTTGTGTTTCTTCTGGAAACAACGGACCATATGAGATTCTGCTCAGTTCAGCGCACTTGGATCGGTGTTCGTAGATCGACTGGTAGAGACTATTTTTCCAAGATGGCTTCTTCCTGTATTCGCGAAGTTGACTGTGTGTATAAAATATCTTCTTATTAAACTGTATGGATACTGACAAAGTTCTCAATGCTTCGGTTTGAATGTAGGGACCCTCGTTATGCCGTCGTGTTGGTGTGGTGCTATTTTGAGCCTTGTTAGTGGTAATAACAAGCGATTTTTATTTGTCATTACTCTACGGCCCATATACTAGCGTTATAGGCTAAACTGTTTTTAGAGACAAAACTATTTACATTCGGCAATCATGAAAACAAATCTCAGATAACGGTTGACTAGGTAGCAATGTGTAATTAGACCAAAGGTTCATTTTGCGCCGGAGTTGTCCTTTAAGCCACAACAACAGGATTAACCCACGAGAGAACGTTTACGTTTCCAAGAGACATTACCGGCTGTCGTTGAAACAATGGAGGATGTGTGTGTGTACAGATCACCGAGGGCGGGGTCTATGCCACAACCACACTGTCAATCAAACCCCTTTCTCACTTTCTACGTCACAAAGAGCTGGATCTCAGAACAGCTCGTTCTGACACAGTGCATATGATTTATTGAGATTGTAAAAAAGCCACTGGGTGGATTTTTATCATTCTAGGGTGGTTTTGCTCACACACTGCCAACACACATTTATGTTCAAACACCATGTAAAAGTGAATTTTCCATAATAGGTGGCCTTTAAATTAAGCTAAAATAACTGCATAGTGTCCCTTTAAGCATTTTATAATTTCCATGACTGAATGATGTTTTCCCCTTATCTGAGTGACTATGAATTATGGAGTATTTTAAGATAACCCATGCGATTGTGAACAATCACGTGTGATCATCGAATCCAGATTAAGTTAACTAAAAACAATATTTCAACTTTCCAGATCCAGATCCAGCCCAGCCCGTTTACCTTCAGGAGTCAGAAGTACTGTGACTAGCGTCCTTGCTTATGAACTCAGTCAGACGGTGCGCTGCGGGAGTGGAAGCGGGATTGAGCGGAATTCTTTATTGCTGTCCCTTTTTTAATGATAGGCATCTGTCATTCATAACCGCTTGCTATTTTGGGAATGAACCCAGCGCTATGATTGGTCGAATTCCGCTTATTTTTCTGTAGCTTGATTTGAGGACTGCGCGTGCACAGAGGTGTCACCAGGTTTTTGTGTAGTTTAAAGTGACAAATCGTACCAGCATACTTTGAGGTCAAAATGCGTATCCGCTACACAAAATGCATATGGATTGGCAGGTCTGCACAGAGATTCAGCTAATGTTATCAAAGCACAAGATACATGTCAGAAGATTGAGAATGCAGTTGCAAAAGAGCTGAATGTTTATGTCAGTGTTAGAGATATTAGCAGCTGGGTCTGAACGGGAAGGAAAGGGATAATGTCACTCACATCCATCAACAGGGGCAGCCGTGTGACTCTCTGCATGGGAAGGATGAGGAAGGAGATCATGGGAAGGTTCCGACAGTCTGGGTGGGCCTCGATCCCAGTCAGTACCTCCTTAAAGGATGAGCTTTTATTTCTGAAGGCATAAACAGACTGTTAAACTAGTGATGAGCCACAGAGTGTGATGTGATCCCAAATGGAATTGCCTCTTTCATAATCGTGTCTCTTGAGACAATGTTTCAATTCAAAGAAACAATGTACATATTGTTAAACATATCCTGACAATATCTACAACTTTTTTATCGCAATGTGACTTGCAACTACGAATTAAACAAAGTTGCACGGGTATGTTGCGTTACTATGTATCTTATAATGGTGATTAAATGCGACTGTGACTTCAAATCTCACAGCTGCAATGTAATTTCTCATACTTTTCTATCTTTATATCTCACAATGTGATATTGCAACTGCCATTTGATTTTATTTCTCGCAATGTGACTTTGTTTAATTCTTCTTCTTTTAAACTTTATTTCACAATTACTCTTTTTATTTTTACTCTGAGGCTTCATAGAAATGTGATCTCTGTCCAGAAAAAAAGCTTCAGATCTACTGGGTAAAAAGGGTAAAAGTCAGAGGTGACTTTCAGTTTAATCAGTGAAGAGTTATGTTTATTGTGCTGTACTCACAGGAGCCTTTGCAGGGTCCTCTGCTGGTACACTTCATTCGAGCAGTATGTCACATAGGGGTCAAAGTTTGCCTGTGCATGCCTTGAAACAATGTCACTTATGTCATCGATTACGATGTTTTGCTGGTGACGATCTTCAAGTTCCTTGAAAAACCTGGAGGGAAAAAGGAAAGAATACAATTGTATTAGGGTGTTAACATGCGTGACATGCCTCACATAACATCAACACAAGTTAAAGTCAGTGTGGGGGGAGCGATGTTTTATTCATCGGATTTGCCGATTAATCGGCACTGATAGTTGATTGGTGGAACTATCGTTATCGGCAAAAATCCGCACCGATAGTTATTTCCTGGTTTCGTCCGTTGCTGGGGCGGCTGAGAAGTGCGCGCTGTCATTCATTACACAGAGAGAGCTGAGAAGGGTATGCTGGCATCATGCAGTACAAGAGCGGCCTCTAGAGATGTCATAAAATCTATCAACTGATGCCTCGTGTTGTTTATTTCGACACGTGACACTGCGTGCTGCACTGAGAGCGCGCGCTGTGTGGAGAGTGGAGATCGCTGACATCTGATGCGCATGCTAAAGCACGGACAGCGAAAAGGTATGCACACGGGAAATTTTGTCATATCATTATAAACTGATGAATTTGTTGACTAAATACACCTTAGTCCGACCCGAATGTTTAATGTCACAAATTGTTACCATCTATTTGCATTAGTTTATATCCAGCTGGTCACTTTGATGCATTCATTATGCAGCGACGTTGCATATAAGCTAGAGACATATGATAGCAAACTGATATGTTCATACAGCCGACAAAAACAAACGAATCAGAGAAGCATTCGATTTCGGTTCTTTTTTCACCATCACTTTAATACATATTTATTTTTATTAAATATTCATTAGGTTCTATAAAATACAGGGCTCCAGACTGTGACCAAATAGTCGCATTTTGCGACCAAAATTTGAGAGTGTGCGACTGAATTTTACATCCAGTCGCACATGTGCGACCGGTAAATTTGCCACACGTTAAACGCATGGTAAGCGTGGAAGTCAATGAATCCGTGACAAGAATAGCGCGATTAAACGTCTGTGGGAACATGAGAGACGGAGTGAGACGGAGACAAATATCACAACCTGATGTGCGTCTGAGCAATAAGCGATCTATCGACACGTTACCTAGCAGCGAATACAAACAAACTAAAATACGCAACTCATATAGGCTATGCTTCACGGACCGTTGGCGTTTTTATTAGGTTGGACCAATAATAGACAGAGCAGCGCATAGTGGAGCCCCCCGAACCACCGACAGTAATAAAGCCCCGAAATTGCCAGTCGCTGGTTAACACATTAATAACATTAACTAAGGTTAATAACTGCTGTTCATTGTTTGTTAATTAACATACTACATTTTTAAATTAAGGTTTTTATTTGTTAACCATAGTTAAAACTCTATGAATTAACATGAATGATCAAGGTGAAATTGTATTGCTCAAATATTAATGCTGTAAACATTTATATTGCATAATGCACATAGTTCATGTAAACTAGCTAATAAATCATTGTTAACAAATTGGACTTGCAACATGTTATAGCTAAAGAAACACACATTTGACATATTTTAATGTTTAAATTATTTTCATTTTCAATTTTTATTTGTTATTATTTGAAACGTCTTTTTTATTCATTAGGTTGGCTTGAAAAAGAACAGTTAAACAGCTACATTTGGAATGTTTAATTTGTTATTTAGAGTATTATTTTTTGTTTTTTTGAAAGAATGCCTTTTATTGACATGTTTTCATGGTTCATACAGTTTTTTGTATTTTTATAATAAAGTTCAGCACTGTTTTACTTGGAGTGTTATTTTTGTTTTTATCCAGTATCAATTTTAAAAACTATCGGTTGATTAATCGGTTATCGGCAAGTACAGCCCAACCTAGCTATCGTTATCGGTAAAATCCAATATCGGTCGACCTCTAATTCCACATGCACAAACACGCACATATACATATGCAACACAAAGCCAGGAAACTGTTCTAAACACCTCCTTCCCCAGTCTATGATCACATCAGAGCACAGGACATCCCAAAGCCCCTCAAATGACCAACCAGGGATGGCAGCATGAAAATCATACACACATGCTCTTCCTGACCAGAGACACACTTCATGACCAGTCATAGGGAATTCACTATTTTTCAGTAATCCAGAGGATGCAGCTCAGAGCTATCTGTGCTGGAAAACAGCGTGACCTCTAGTTCACAATCTCACAATAGACGTCAGAAAGACGGAACCTGAATGCTAAACCTGGAAGTGATGTCAATCAGGTTGTTAGCACAGGGCCATGACCCCGGGACCTTTCTACAGGTGTTTGGAGCACTATCAGCTTTAAAGAGGGACAAGAGTCAACCGGTGAAGTCCAAATGAACAGTACTCAAAATAAATTTGTGCAAAGGATAAAGTTGTCACGGTACATGTTTTACTGAACACACACCAAACCGTCACTTCAAAACCGAGGTAGTATGTATCAGATCACAACTTTTGTGTACCGTTACACTTCTAACAAAGGGTAAAAAGCAAACATCTATTTCTGGTCTTGGGGGTTAAAACAGCCACTGAAAGCAAAGTTCAGCTGCTGTATCAGGGAAAATCCAACAGAGGACTTTTGAAATTTCTTTTGACTTACAGTACAAAAGTCTCTCTATCCACAGCAAAGGAATCTGAGTTTTTATGTGAGCAATCCATCACATGAGCCAACCCACACCAACACATATACAGCAGGCCATTTCAGGAATGCTTCGCACTTCTGGTCTGGTGCAGAATGAAGGCAACTGTACATGTTCATGTACATCTGTTTATCTGTCCTTTACAGCAGGCCCAGTGTGTGTTCAAATGACACTGAATCATGTTCAGGAATCATGGACAACCAGAGGGAAAGTCACATTTTGTGCACTATTTTCAGCCAAATTGAAATACATCATCAATGACAATAATATCCAACACAGTCTCATGAAAGTGCGTATCTATACCACGAATGTCATTTCTCGTGGCATTTTTACACCAAAAATGTTTTTTGTGTGCATATGCTACGCACTGAAAACCCCTTGGGTAGGTTAGGGGGGAGGGGAGTGGGGAGTTTGTGCGTATTATATGCAAGCGAAAAACGTGTACCATATACACGCAAAAACTATTTTTGCCGTATAAATGGCACGAGAAATTACATTCGTGCTATAGATACGAACTTCCATGAGATCGGGCTCTATTATCACGTCAACTAATTACTGCAATGAGAGGTACAAAAAAGGACAAAAGAACTAATCATTCTGGATGTCCCTTGTCTTTGGCTCTCTTTCAATGTTTGTTTGTAATGTGTAAATGTGTTTTTTTATTTGAAATGAAATGATATGGGCTCTAGTAACTGATGATATTTATCTTGCATATAAAGGAAAACAAACACAGTTCAATATTTCTGTCAGTGGTTTGCTATATTAATTTATACTTAATCAACATCATGCCTCTGACTGAGAGAGTCTTCTCACTTTTTATTTATTTTTATTTATTAAGTGTTTACAAATCAGAAGCACAGCTTGGGCTAAACGAGTCTTAAACATTGTAGTAAAAAAACGGCAACTAAGGTGACTCAAGAGTTCCGGCTTGAGGTCGTTTTCCGATCTTGTTCCCTTTTTTCTCCTCCTAACTGCTCCCTGTATCATCTATACTGCACTATCCAAAAACAATTATAACTTTATTAAAAACACTGTGCCCTGAACAAGGCACTTAACCTCAGTTTGCTCTAGGGGGATTGCTCTTGTGACTATCTCGCACAGTTGAAGCAAAGCTACGAACCGAACCCAAAACTGTGTTTTGACATGCCCCAAAACTCACTGCGCCTGTGGGAAAACAGAAGTTTAACCATTTCATCTGCAGCAAGAATTGAAACTAAAATAGGGAGATCTTAATTTCTGTTGCTATCAAACTAGCTACAAATTACGGTTGCTTACCTCCAGTTCGTGTTGCAAAATGGTTAATCCATATATTACCCACGTCTTCACCTGCGATGTAGATACCGTTCCTCTTTTATTCATTTGATAAACAATGCCCATGGTAAACAAACTGTTTTTTAAAATAAATCTGTTTTGACTAACTATTCTAGTGTTTGGAAATATTAGCCACTGCCGGGCTATAGGGCTGGGCCAGAGCTAACAGCGAGCCGAGTCGAGCGAGCCAAGCACCGGGCTTGCGTTTCCACTGCCGGGCCAGTAGCCCCACAGCGCTGCCCTAAACCCCGCCCCTAACACGCCTTTCTGTATCAAACGTCATACAACCCAACCCATTTCAGCGGGTATTATGAATTATGAATAGGAAGAGAACATGTATATTAACTCACCGGCCGTGGCTGCAATAGTGTCCCGATTGTCTTGCGATTCACCACTAACAGAGGGTCACACTAACAAGTCGAACCATGGAAAAATCCGTCTCTGAACTCCGCTTTGTCCATTGTGCATTTTGATCGCCTTGTACAATACTGCGCCCGCAACTTTTTTATTTTTTCCTGAACTTGAAGCGCTGCTCGCTGAATGTTTGGCTTAGAAAGTTCAGCATCGATGTGTTTTGTAACATCCTCGTTTCTTCACACGCCGTCAAATTGACGTCGTACCCTTTCTTCTGCCCAAATGCTCAGAAGAGCTGTGGTATCCTCGACAGACAAGTACAGGCGATTCTCTGTTTCAAGCAGCGATTTTTTTGCGCGATATAAAAAAGTGAAATGTGCATCTTGCTTCAGATCATAACGTTCCATAACACCGATAAACTCCGCCTTTTACCTTAAGCACGCCTCTAGCCCGAGCTGGCCCGCTCTGGCCCAAGGTATTAGACGGGCCAGAAATCCTGGCCGTTGGCCCCGAGTAAGCCCCGACCAAGCCCCGGAAGTGACAGTGGAAACGCGACTGGCCCAGGCACGCACTAGCACGGCTCTGCCCTGGCCCGGCAGTGGAAACTTGGGTCTGGGAACCACATGTTCATTTTCTTGTATTTGAGGCGTGGTTTACAAATGCCCAGAGCCATTTATTGGGTGCTAAGAATGTCTATAAAATGTACCTGTAAGTAGCTCATAGCCATTCGTTTCAATTATACCAGATGACGTATGTAGAGCGACAG